GCCCGGCCCGGCAGGGGCTCCCGCCGCTCCGAGCGGCTCCCGAGGGCGCCCGCGAGGAGCCTGCGCCGTAGGGAGCGCGGCCGCGGGGGAGCCCGTGCCAGGGGGGCCCTGCAGGGCTGCCAGCCCCGTGCGCCCCCGGCACCGGGACACGCGCCCCGGAGCGCATGGCGGCTGCTCCCAGCAGCGGGATGGTGCCGGAGCCAGGAGCAGCTGGGTGCAGGATCCACGCGGGAACGGAGGGGAGGCTCCTCCGGGACCTCCCCGCGGCGCCAGGGCTCCCATTAAAGCGAGGCCACTTGGGCTGTCCTGGCACCACGTCCGCTCTGGTTCTGCTGGGTGAAGAAGGGAGGAGTTGGGGTAAAACTGGGTCAAAATTCATTTTTTGCGATTTTTTTTTTTTGCAAAAACTTGCACATTTTTGCACTGCCCAGGCCCTGCATCCACGGAGCCTCCTTGGCTGCTTGATTTGCTCCCACGGCTGATTGCTAGCCTGAGCTGACGCAGCTTCCACGCGTGGCCACAACCTCGTTATGCCTTTGGGGCTAATTAAAGGGCTGGGATCAGAGCAAGCCCAAAGCACGCGGAGCTGCTGCGAAGCCCTTCGGAAGAACGCGGCTCCTTGGAGCGCAGCGGTTTTCCGGGGGATGCAGTGCAGGACGAGCCCTGCTCCCGTTGCCTCTTCCCCACAGCCCCGCGGGCGCAGCTGAGCGGGCACCTCCGGTGCCGAGCCGTTCTGCGGCGCTCCTGGTTTTCCGCGGGCCCGGGAAGCGCCGTGCCGCGCTCCCGGGAATGTCACGCTCGGCAGCATCCCGCCGTGCCCTTTCCCAGCCCGCTCGCTATCGAGTGCATTCCTCTCCCTTCACTGCACCCTCCAAAGAGCCATGAAAATCGATGGCTGCTCGGGGCTCCCCGCTCCGGGCGGGATGCGCTCGGCCTCGGGATGAAGCCCCCATTCCACTCGTGCGGCACGGATCCCTTGGGCCCAGCTCCCTCAGCCCTTTTTCCCTCTCCTTGCCAAGAGGGATGCTCCCGATCCCTCCGCCTGGCAGCCCTTGGCAGGTCCATCCGTGTCCCTTGTCCTGGGGGCGCAGGGCAGGACGCAGCCCTGGACATGGACCATCCAGGTGGCCTTTGGTGGCCTCCCAAGCACTGCTGCCGGGTCCATGCGGAGCGCAAGCCATCCAGGTGCGTTCCGAGGCAATCCCAGCGGGAAAGCAGCCCCAGCGCCTCCATCCCCATAGGCGAGGATGAGGAGGGCGGCGCGACAGCACTCGCGCTGCCTTTAAATATTCATAGGGCCCGGTTCGCTCTAATGCCGTGACGAGATCTTTATCCTGGTGCGCTCCGCGGCGAGGCGAACGCTTCATTACCGCCTCAAACGCCTCGTGGTCACGGACATTATCCGGGAAAATGGCCTTGTCGCCTGGGAAAATACAACCTGCTCGGCGCTGGTTTTCTGCTTCAGCGCGCGGGACACGAGGAGGAGAGAGGCTCTGCGCAGGAGACGGCGCTGCGCCGATCGCCCCAGTCCCCGCTCGGAGACGCCGCGTCCCGCGGGATCCCAGCTCTGCCCCAGCCGCGAGGATGGAGGCAAAGAGCCGGAAATCTGGGTTTTGGATGAAACACAGACAACTTTTGGCCCATCCCTCGGGCACTTGGCTGTGGGAGCGCCGAGGAAAATGGGGACGCGGATCCGTCAGGAGCAGCACCTTCTCCCTCCCCGCATCCCTGGGTCTCAAGGGAAACCACAGGGTGGGAGCCGGGAGTGGAAGGGTGGATCCCACATGGATCCTCCCTTCCCTTCGCACCCCCCGGCTCCATCCCGCTCCTGCCCGCGGGTCCTTCCCGCAGCTTTTCCCACTATTAACCAGCCGTCCTTGCACAGGGTGCCCCGTTAACAGGGCAAGACCCAGCGGAGAGGCAAGAGCCTCCTCTGTGCCGCTGGTTCCACAGGCTCCGGGCTGTCCCAAGCGCCGCTCTCCTTTCCCAATCCCTCATTTCCCACCATCTTTCCTGCAAACAAACAACCAAGGGCAGCGGATGCGGGAGGAGGCAGCCACGTGGCAGGGACACCATCCCCTCCTGCTCCAACACCGTGGCAAACGTCGCCTCCAGCCTTTATTAATCGGGAAGCAGAATCCCGGGAATGCAGGAGAAGGGCCGACGCGGCGCGAGCGGAGCGCCGAACACGGGGCTGCAATGGGATGCGGGGCAGAATGAGCCCTGTTCCCGTCGCAGCCTCCGGGAGCCTCCCGGGAGCAGCCCTGGCTCCCGGCTCGCGCGGATTTACTCTTGCCGCACACCAAAGGTGAGCGAGGAAGAAACACAGGAAGAAAGAAAAAAAAGATTTTTTTTTGCCCCAAAAGGAACAAAAATGAAGGGTTTCCCATCTCCTTCTCAGTAGGGTCTACTTTTTGTCTTGAGGAAATTTTGGTGGCCTGGTGAGTTTAGCAGCGCCGCAAGCGCCAGCAGAGGAGACCCGGCGGAGACGGGGCCGCTGCCTCTTCTGGTTCCCATTCCTGTCACACGGAGAGGTGTTCTCCGGGCCCCGCAGCTTCCCGGCGCTTCCCAAACACCGGGAGCCACAGCAGCTCCCAGGCTCCTCTGCAAGAGCACAGGAGACAAAACCAGGCAATTCCATCATCAAGAAAGGAGGGATATCACATCCTAGCAGGCGCCTTCCCAGGCACCCGAGCGCGCGGCGGGATGAGAGGCCGGCGGTGCCGGGGCGCAAGGCGGAGCCGCATTCCCGAGCCCGGCCAGGGATGCCGGTGTCCTCCGGTCTTCCCGGCAGGACGAGGGAGCAGTTCAAGGCCTGGCTCGCTCCATTCCGTCCCGTCCTTTGCTTGACGCCTCTGTGTAAAAGTCAGTTGAACGGCGGCCACGCAGAGCGGATCTTCCCGCAATCCCCAACCACGTTGGCGAGGCCGAGCAGGCGACAGCGCTTCCCAAATCCCGGCAGCTCCAGCGGGACGAGGGGGGAGCTCCGGCATCCCTGCCGGCCGGGGAGCCCTTCCCGCGGCCCGGCCCGTTTCCCTGCCCCGTCAGTAGATCTTCTGCCGGCTGGGCACGATGGCCTCCTTGATGAAGGAGAAGACGAGCAGGATGCCGGAGCGCTTGCCCCTCTTGCCCTTGGTGAAGTAGTTGGAGACCACGTCGTCTGCGGGGGGACAGCAGGGGAAATGAGGCACAAACGGCCGGCGGGGAGCTCCCCGTCACCCCGCAGCGCCAGCTCCGGAGCCCCCATTTCCACGGCTGCAACCCCGATCCAGCCCCATGCCCTGGGAAGTCACTCGCAGGAAGCTCAAATCCTTCGGCAGACGTAGCACGAAGGGGGCGTCCAAGGAGGGCTACGCACCCGAGCATGAGGGACGCAATTCCATAGGGCTGGGACCCACCGGGATCAGGATAAACCCAGAGCACCCCTCCCCGTGCCCACCCACGCAGCACACGGGGCAGCCGCATCCCTTTCACCCCCCATTTCGGGCAGGTTCTGCCCCACAGACGCCCAGCGGGACACGGGCACTCACCCCCCGGCTGCACCGTGGAGGGCAGGACGTTCTCTCCGGCCGACAAGGACACGAAGAAGGCGAAGGGGATTAACCAGAGGCAGAAGGTGAAGTAGGCGAGAACCTGCGGGCACAGAGCGGGGCCGCGTGGCGCCAGCGCCGCGCCGGGAAACGGCACCGAGGGCAGGTCCGAGCCATCCCGGCCGCCCCAGCCCTGCGCCGCGGCCTCCTCCGCAGCCACAGCCCCTGCGTCTGTTTGGAACTGCGGGAATAACGGACGCCACGCGGGCGGTTCCGCTCCGCGGCGCTGCGTCTGCCTCCCCGCGCAGCAGACCGCTCCGCTTTTGGTGTTGGGGACAGGGAGCCCCGGCCGCGCTCCGAGCTGCAGCTCCACGCGCTATTCCCCAGGTTCCCATCGGATTCCCAATCAGGGACAAGGGGCAGCGCAGTGGCAGAGCTGCCACCGACCCTCTCCTCCCCATGGAGCAAGAAACAGGCACCCTCGGAGGCAGAGACAGGCACGGGGAACTCGGCAGCTTCCAAGGAAGGCCTGGGAAGCTACGAACCGCGCAGAGAAACCCCTGCTTCCCGGCCTGGCCTTCCCAAAGCCTTTACTGCACCCAGGAACGGAGGATTTTGAAGAGCACACACCATAATTAAACCAACAGGAAACCGGTTGTTATGACCAATAAAGCCCTCCTCGGTCCTAAAGGCGATGGGCAAGAGCTGGGTTTGCTCCCCTGCGGTAGGACGAGAGTGTGGCATGGTTCAGAAGGGCTCCCAAGCTGCTGCTTAGGAGAGTCCTGAGCAGCCCCGACCTGCCCCAGTGCCGGGAGGTGCAGATCTGTTCCAGCCGCTCCCGGTGCGCCGCAACACCGAGCAAGGGATGCATTTCATATGGACTTTTGGCTTCTTCCCTAATTTCCATTAACTGGCAGCTACCGTTGGGCCAAAACAGGCCCCTTTGGGCCTTCATGTCCCTTGATCAGTGCGAGAGCCAAGTCAGGACACCAAGAACACAAAAATAGCAAGGAGCAATTATTCCAAAAAGGGAACGACTCGTGTTCAGCTTGCAAAGAAAATCTCTACTTTGCACTACGGAAATGCACCCGCATCCGTATTTCTGCCCCGGAGCTGGCCCACAACGCTGCAGGCCCGCAGTGCGGGGCTGCAGGGACACCCTGGAGCGTCCCCAGGATGTTTAAGCACGGAAAGCCTCTCGGGGAGCTCTGAGCAGATGCCCTCAGGCGCTGCAAAGCGGCCCGAGCAGGGCCAGGCCCCTTCCCTCCACGCCCTTCCCTGGGACGCGGGCGCGCCGAGCGGGGCTCTCACCTCGGAGAACACGTAGTACTCCTCAGCGAAGTACTGGAAGGCCAGGTAGTGATTGAGGAGAACCAGCACTGCCGAGGAGAAACAGGGTCAGGCTGCAGGAGTGGCCGCCCGCGTCCCCCACGGGGATGGGTGGCCACGGACCTCGTCCGGCGGCAGCTCCCGGTCACGGGCCCGGACGCACCTGGAATTTGCTACTGCTGAAATACGTCCGGGTACCCCCACCCTGAGACCTGACTCGGTTTTGTTGCTCGCTTTATCACTCTGCACAACCCCAGGCGAGTCCCTGCACTCCTGGTCCTGTACTCCATTCCCTCCAGGGACCCCCAGCGCAGCCCCTGCTCCACAGGGACACCCAGGGCACGGGACACCCGCTCCATCCCGGCGCGGTGGCAGATCTGCAGAGCAGGATCTGCAGCCTGGCCAGGGCTGGGCACCCTCCTCACAGTCACCTTGTTCTTCCCCACGGGCACATGGAGCTGCCCGGGGTCCAACCTGCACCCACTGGCCCTGGTCCTGGCACCGGCCACCCCGGAGCAGAGCTCGGCCCTTCCTCCCTCCGTCCTCCCCTCGGCTGCGCGGGCACACTGACCAGGGCCCTCTCGGCCTCCTCCTCGCCAGGCTGAACAGGCCCCGCTCACTCAAGAGCTGCTCCAGACCCCTCCGGAGAGCCGGGAGGATCCAGGATTACCGAGGGGGCACCTGGCTCTGCTTCCTAACGGGCTCCGTCTCCCGACCCCGGTGGAGCTGCGCTCCCTTCGGGTGGCAGATCCAGGCCTGCCTGCTCAGCTGCTCCGAGCAGACACTCTAGTCCCGCATGGAGAGCACCCTAAGCCAGGCCTGGGCGCTGCAGGGAAGCTGCCCGCGCGCCGCGACCTGCTCCCGAGCCTGGAGCCCCGGAGCCGAGATGCCCCGGCGGGACGGAGCGCGGCCCGGAGCCCTGCCCGTCCCTCGTCCTCCTCCCCGGAGCTTCCCTGCGCTCCAAGGACCCCAAAATCCCCCTGCGAGAGGCCAATTAACCCGAAGCCATGCTGTGTCCGCTTCCCGAGGGAAAGGTCCCGGTGCTGCGCAGAGCTCGGGGACCCCAGGAGGTCCCGTGGGAAGGAAACAGGCCCCAATGCAGGTTCCCTCGTGCACGTTTCCAACTCCATTTCCCACGGCAATCGTGACGAGCTTCCCGCTCCCGCCTTAGCCGTGTCTCTGGAACGTCCTTTCCTCCGAGCAGCAGCTCACCATTCCCGCTGGGACACGCGGCTGCTGCTCCCAGGGAACGGGATCGCCGGGCGCCTCCCGGGCTCAAAGTCCCGGCTCCCCGCGGGCCGGCGGCCAAGCCCCGACCCGGGCCACCCTCCGGCCGCAGCTCATGCTGCAGGGCCAGGAAAAGGAACCGCAGGAAAACGGGGGGAAAAGGGGCTGGCTCCCGGCAGGCTGTGCTCACCGCAGGACAGGATGAAGTTGGGCGACGTGAGCATGATGAAGGGGAAGGTCTGCAGGAGGCCGAAGTAGACGAGGTTGGTGAAGAGCCCCACGGCCACCATGAGGCCGGGGAAGCGCTCGAACACGTAGAGGCCGGCGAGCACGGCCGTGGAGAGCTGCGGGGGCCGGGCGGCGCTCAGCGGGGCCGGAGGGGTCCCGCGCTGCCCCCCGGCCCCGGCACTCACCCAGATGAGGTACTTGATGATCCTGCGCGTCGCCACCGTGTACTCCTCGATGAGCTCGGCCAGGTAGTAGAGCCCGGCGGCTGCCCACACGCTCC